TCTCTCTCTCTCTTCTTTCTCTCTCCTTTCTCTCCTCTCTCTCTCTCCCTCCCTTCATCCTCTCTCTTTTCTTGACTGTTATTGCCAAGGGTATTTATTGTGGATTATAGCAAGATGAAATAATTAAACTCTTCTATCTTCTCTCCAGCTATTATAACGTTGCTTACTGGCCCACTGGTGAGGATTTTTGTTTTGTTGATGTTGAGATGTGATCCATATTCAAGGTTTTAGTCGTTGAGCTTTTGCAATAATAGTCTCAGCAAAGTTGTGTTGTCTGCATACCACAGGTTTTAATCAGTCTTCCTCCAATTCTGGAGCTATTTTTTTCTTCATAGTGCCCAACTGCATGGATGATTTGTTCTACTTAAGATTAAATAGGTATGGAGAGAGGATATAGACCCTACATACACCTTTTTTTAAAAAAACTATTCTTATACTAGTTTATTTACAAAATTCTAATACATTGTTTTTCACACCAGATTCTTCCAACTTCCCTCATCCTCCCCATCAAGTTGTAACAATCCCCTGATTATTTCCCTTCTGCCCACACATACTCATCACTCTGTTTCCACTCCCCCCCCTTTGGATCCTCACACTGGTTCTACAATAATAGTTTTATACAGTATTTGTCCTTGTGGGACTGAGTTAGTCCCCTCAGCATCACATTCTCCAGTCTCTCCCAAGTCAGGTAATAATTTACAAAATCATTTCTCCTATGTGCTGCGTAGTATTCCATCGTATGAATGTACCATCATTTCTCAATCCATTCTATTGCAGTTGGACATCTGGGATGTTTCCATGTTCTTATGATGGTAAATAACACTGCTGTGAACATTGGTGTACAAGTCTCCATTTGTGCCTCAGTTCAAATTTTCTCAGGGTATATTCCAAGCAGTGGAATAGCTGGGTCATATGGATTTTCTATGTTCAGCTTTTTGAGGAAGTGCCAAACTGACTCCCAGAGTGTTTTGTACCCTTTTACAATTTTACCAATAATGTATAAGACTTCCTATTTCACCACATCCTCTCCAACATTTATTACTTGCTGTCCTGTTAAACTTTACCACTGTTACTGGAGTAAGATGGTATCTCATTGTGGTTTTGATTTGCATCTCTCTTATTGCCAGTGATTTGGAGCATTTCTTCATGTGTCTGTTGGCTATTTGGATATCTTCCTCTGTGAAAATTCTCTCCATGTCTTGTGTTCATTTTGTAATTGGGTTATCGGTCTTTTTTTTGTGGAGGCCCAGGAGTATTCTGTAAACTTTTGTTATGTGACTCTTGTCTGAGATGGTATTACCATATGTTAGTTCCCAGTCAGTAGGTTCTCTTTTCACTCCACTGGAAAAAGTTTTTGATGCACACAGAGATTTAATCTTTATAAGGTCCTAGTCATCAATTTTATCCTCTTCATATTGTGCATTTCTGGCTGTATTTTGCAGTCTCTTTATACTGTAGACTAGGGCTTCTAAGCTTGATCCCAGTTTGTCTCTTATGAACTTTGTGGTTTTGGGCTTTATTCCCAGGTCTCTGATACACCTTGGGTTTATTTTTGTGTATGGTGTGAGATGTGGATCCTATTTCAGCTTTTTGTAGGTGGAAGTCCAGTTTTGCCAGCACCAATTGTTGAAGAGGTTTTCATTTCCCCATTTGATAGTTTTGATTTCCTTGTCAAATATCAGTTGACAATAGATCTGGGTCTCTTTTGGGTTCTCAGTTCTGTTCCATTGGCCTATGTGCCTGTCATTGTACCAGTATCATACTGTTTTGGTTACTGCAGTTGTATAGTAAGTTTTGAAGTCAGGGATTGCTCTGCCTCTCACCTCATTTTTGTTTCTCAGAAGTTTTTTGCTTATTTGGGGTCTCTTGGCTCTCCAAATAAATATGACAATTTTTCCTTTTGATCTTCTTGGAAAAGGAACTCGGTATCAGGATTGGGATTGTGTTGAACATTTAGGATACATACTTTTGGTAGGATACATACACCTTTCTTAATTTTAAATCATGCTGTGTTCCCCTTCTCTGTTTGAAAAATGGTCTCCTCATCTAGGTATTGATTTCAAATGAGAAATGTTCCAGGATTCTCATTCTTCTCAGTGTTATTCACAACTTGTTATGAACCACACAATCAAATGCCTTGCATAATCAATACAGGATGAAGACATATCCATCTTATATTCCCTGCTTTCAGCTAAGATTCATCATAACTCAGCAATAATATTCCTGTTGCCAAGGCCTCTTCTAAATACAGCTTCAACAGCTGGAAATTCTCAGCTGATGTATGTTGATTCAACCATCTTTGGGTGACCTGCAGCAAGATTTTGCTTGCATGTGGTATTAGTGAAAATTTCTGCATTCCATTGGAAATGTGGACAAATATGGATCTTTTCCAGACAGTTGATCAGGTAGCTATCTTCCAAATTTCCTAGCACAGACTGGTGAGTACACCTAGCATTGAAATTCACAATAGGAAACAAAAACCAGCCAACTGGTGTCTGCATACAGTTAGAACCAGAAGATAAAAATGTTTTCTACCATATGCACTGGAAGTAGAAAAGTCAGTCTGCAATTAAAAAAAAAAAAAAGGAAATAAAGAGATACCCAGGAGAAGCAGAGATAAGAAACGGGGGGATACTCCAAATTTCTGGATCTCGGTCTTTCTAATCCCTGCTTCTAGTCACTCCTGAGATTTAGTTGCATTATTTCCCTTAAGCTTTGTGAGACACCTCTGAACCTTTATAAGTAAATAAAAAAGACAAGCCCATTGTTGAGAGTTGGTTCTGCCTCCTGGTGATCCCATGTTGGTAGAACTGCTCTGCGACTTTCCTTGTCAGTAATGACTATGGAAGTATCAGAACCATGAGGTCAGCAGTCAAGTGCAAACAGTCTGCACCAGAGAGTCCTATCTCTATATCAACTGTCCCTTTTGTTAGCTAGACCAAGTAACTTCCTGTTACTTGCAAGCTGAGGATCTTAACCAATTAAATGGCTGGAAATATTTAGAAGACAAATTATAACATTTTGAAACTTTACCAAACTAACCCCATATGCTTTAAAATTCAAGACATTGTTGTTACACAAAATATAGAAATATTAACCTCTCTGAAAGTTCCATAATGGAGGTGTGAAAGTGTTTACAGATTGGAACGACCTCACGTCGCTCAGCCACGGTGAGCTCCAGTGTTTCTAAGAATTTCACAGCTACAAGTTCAAGAGCATCTTCAGGCCAAGGCTAAAAATAAGAAAAATAAAACTTTATCATGAAATTTAAGATAAGCCATTTCTCTTCAACTTTTTAAGCATCTCCTTATAGGAGAAGAACTTGGAGATGAGAAACTAAAAGGGGTCCTGGTGGCCCAGCAGACAGGCAGTTGTGCTGCTGCCCATTATTTTTTTTACCTGTGCCAAAGGCAGTTCAAATCCACTAGCTGCTCTACAGGAGTAAGAAATATAATTACTTCCCATGCAATCTATAGCCTCTGAAAACCTGCTGGAGGGTTGGCTATTAGTTCTGAATCAACAGTAATGACAAACAAAGTGATTTTCCCTAATAATAGAACTAGGTGGACAGCAATCACAATAAATCTATGAAGGATTTAATTAATATTTTATACACTACAATGAAAATAAAAACAATAAACAACATACAGGAAAGATCAATAGTACTTTGCACAGCAAAAATATATTTAGTGCCTTTCTCAACTCTCCACTTGAGTGTCTAGTCTCCTTCACTGACATTGTAGTTAAGTCCAGACTGACTCATAGTGGAGCTCCAGCAGTTTTTGGAGGTTATCAATTGCACAGAATGAGACTGCCCATCTTTCCAACCCCCAGAGAGGTGCCATCTCTGGGCTAAGCAGTGTAACTCCCAACGGACTGTGCCACCAGAGCTCCCTGGGTTATCTACTCTTTAAAACGTAAATCTTCAATCAAATTGACTCTGTAAAGTCTTCCTTAAACCAAACAATAACTTAGCTAAATTTGTAAAAATCCAGTATTGTGCAGAGTTATCTACTTGGCAACAGCAAGTGGAAATGCTAGAAAGATGCTCAGGGAGCCAGCCAAGGGAGAAGGAGCAATTTGGACCCTGAAAGTGAGGGTGGCTGAACACCTTGAAGAATCAGTGTTAAATGACCACATAAGCAAAAAAATCATTGAATCGATTCATGCTTTGTTGCATATGATTCTCATGTTATTTGAGAGCAATAAAATTTTTATAATGCTGCTGAGTGAAATACCTCAGTCACAAAATGACAAATACTGTATGGTGCCACTGTTGTAGAATGAGGCTGACATCAGGGTGGAAGTAAGACTGAGAAAAACTGGATAAATTATGTATACTGCATTGAAGCCAATGAGGGAGAGAACAGTTTAAAAGCAATATATTTTAGGGCATTGTGATTATCATAAGAGTTCGGAATGAGGCTTGCAGAGTGGAGTATACTCGGGGTGAGGGTGGGGAGGTGTGGGGGGATTGTATACCAATGAAGGAGTTTTTCTTTTGCTTTTAAAAAAGAGCAAACTGGGGGTTGGGGTGGGGTGGGCAGGGAGAAAAATGCAACAATGAATGAATGGAAATCCAAAATCTCTATAAATGTTCATTGAAATTAATAAAAAATTATGTTGCTAGATTAAATATCATATAATTGATAAATAACTGAAAACATTACAGAGATTTGCCTTACTGTTTTGAGTGTTTCACTTTAAAAACATCCTTTTAATCAGAAAAGTTTCATTATATCTGTAGCAGTTAGAATGCTTATAGCTAAAGTGACAACCACTTATAGTTAATCTCTCAACTATATATAGTTATAGAATATTTATTGTTACAGTGGTAGAAAACCAGTTTTAATGTCTTCAAACAAAGTCATCATTTAATAAGAAATGTAGAAAAAGGGTGTTCCCCAGGTTGCTTAATTCAGAAGATCAATCATATTCAAAGATTGAGATTCTTTTCCCTCCTTTACGCTACCTTTCTGAGTACAATTTGCCTTTATCCTCAGTCTTCACCCAACATGATGCTGCAGTTCTGGGCCAATGTTCAAACACAGCTGATGGACAGAATAGGCCTTTTTCTACCAGAATTCTCAAGAAGACCTTGTCTCAGACCCACAGGCAAGGAATGGGTCATGCATGCCTAGTGTACTTTGAAATAACACTATACCACTTAGGTACCTTGTTGTGTACCATCAAGTTGAAACCAACTCACAGTTGACCCTTCAGTTGGGGGTTTTTGGAGGCAGTAAATTGCATTAGAGGAAACTGCCCATCTTTTGCCTGTGGAGCAACTGGTGGATTTGAACCATGTGCCTTTGGGTTGACAGCGTAACTCCTTACCACCAGGCCACCAGAGCTCCCCGTCTTCCTCCTTACCAGCCAGCTATTCCAAACTACGTGCATTTGCCCGAATGTGCATACTCTCTCTCTCCCTCTGCACATCTATCACTAATTTATCTTCATATTTCAGATAGTAATTGTCATCTTATGGACATTCTTTGCACACAAAGATTATTACTTTTCTATAACTGCAATTGAAGATGTGCGGATTAACTTTGCCGTCTTCCAGACTTGAGTGTGAATTCTTTGTGAGAGTCATTCCTTATCAGTATCTGGTGCTGAGCACCATGACTATAATTCTAGCAAGAAATCAAGAAACATTAACTTACTGTGTAATAATAGAGCTTGAGTAAGATTTCAGTAAAACAGCAAAAAAATTAGATGCTAAAAAAATATTACAAACCTGAAACCAGTCAATGGTACAGCAATTGATGAGAGATGGGAATTGTCTCAAGCGATTTCGAAAGGCATCCCCAATTGGGCTAAAAGCCACTACGACATGAAGATTATTTTTGCAGCAATTCACAAAGAAAGCAAACAGGGCTAAGGGACTAAGCTCTTCATGTTTATTGCCAGCCTGGGCTGCTGGGCGAACACCCTAGGGAATATCAGAAAATAAGAGCCTCATGAATGAAAAAAACGACCAAAAGTATGATTAGCAGATGTTAGAATATTAAGACATTTAAAACCAAACTCAACTTGCTGCTGTCAAGTTGTAACTGACTCAATTGACTCTCTAGTGGGTTTCTAAAGCGGTAAACTGCACAGGATGAGATTGTTCATCTTGTTTCCTCATGCTGCTGCTGATGGTTCAAACCACCAGAGAATCTCAGCTTTTGCGCTAACAGTCTAACTCCCTTATAAATGATCAGATTAGGTGCAATGACTCTGGAAACAAACTCCCTGAGTTAAGACCCTGCTTACAACTTGGTAAACGTTATTTAATTTTCTATAACTTAGTTTCCTCAGATTCTATGCAAATGTAAAAAAGGGAAGAAGTGTACCTATATCAGAGGTTTGTTGAAAGATGAATGAGTTATTACATTCAAGTAATGACCTACATTCAAGTTCATCAAAAGAAAATCATTAAAATAATATGCTTAAATTTTCAGTTATTAATATCCTCTTCACAAAAATAACACTTATTATGGAGAATAAAAAAACGTTTCAAGACGAGAAGATTCCTGTGTGGAGAGCAGCAATACCAGAAAAAACATTTTACCTCCATCACTTCTTGTTTTTCATCTGCGGCAAAAATGTTGGGTACTTCTCCAGTATTGAGCACACTGTCAATGTCCTCTAGAAAGGCCTCTTCTTTAATCTGGGTGTCTGTGATCAGAAAGACGGTCTTCTGGCCCCTCATGCCCGCATTCCGCAAGAGACCCTTACAAATGAAAATGCACAGACAAGCAGGCTGAGGTGGACATTTGCTGGTTTAGCTTCCCTTTCCTTTCTCCTTCCATTAAGAATATTTTAATTTTAGGGTAGTAACTCTGTCCACTCCTAGTGGGCTGTCAGTCAGAATCTCTATCTTTACCATCCCCTGGATGAGAACAAAACCCAAACCGGCCAGAGTTCCCAAAGTTCTACCACACTTCACTGCCATCATGTCGTTTCTGATTTACAGCAGCAGCACTGCAGGACAGTGCTGAGTTGCTCTAATGGGGTTTCTTTTTTCTTTCTTATAAAACAACAGTAATTTCTAATTGTGATTTGAGTGAAAGTTCACAAAACAAATTGGTTTTCCATGCAAAATGTGTATGTTTATTTTGTGCCATTGATTGCAATCCCCATAATGAAACAGAGCTGTTCCCCCTACAGCCCTGTGTCTCCCATTTCCATTCACCCTCTTTCCTATCCCTCCCTGACTGCTAAGCTTCCTCCCTGGGCAAATACTGCCCTTGTATCCTGTAGGGTTGCTTGTTCCAAGTACTATGTTCCTCCGTGGTTTTACTAATCACCTTATAGGCCTGTGTACTATTTGGTTTCAAGTTAAGAAGTGGGAGTAATTTCCATTCCAGACTTGGAGGGTGACCAAAGATCCTACTATCCTTGTTTCCACCATTCTCTGTAAGGCTAGTAAGCATGAACTTTACAAGGTCTTGAATTATTTTTATCATACTCTAGCAAAAACCTTCTGTGTGATTCATTTCAGAACAGTCAGCAGTACTTGTCAAGTACCATCTAGCTCTTCTGCTCTCAAAGAAATGAAGACTTGCATTTGCAAGGTTTAGTCTCCGAATTTTTGTTCTACTTTGTTTCATTCATCTTTGCTTCTGATATCCATAAGGATCCCAGAAGTATAATCTTTGCAGAAGTATATTACCACATCTTTCTTCTATGAAGTGGCTTGTAAGTTTGAACCACCAATATTTCAGTGAACCACTGTACTAACAGGGCTTCTACTCCAAGTTCCTATGCATAATCATTAACACAAAGGAGGGTATGTGATCTCAGCAAGACTTATTCAGGTACTAAGGAGGACTTGAAAACAAAATGATCATTGTCTTTCTGAAACAGAAGCTTAAAAGTCCGTTAAATATAACTTCTAAAGGTCATCTATACACAACAACAAGGGTCATCTAATTTTGCTTCATGAAAGTAGCTTGCTCAGAACAAAGCCAAATATAAGAGTACAGAAACAGGAAATGTAAAGAGTAATAACTGAAGCCGTGATTTGAAACCTCTAAATTCACCCATGTCACAAACCTTTGTACTTTTTTCCCTATTATGTATACTTGATCTTCAACATAGGACAAAAATCCATTAAGTGGGGAAGAGAGAGTAACTTTAACAAGTGATGCTGGAAAAACTGGTTATCCATTTATTAAAAAATTTAAAAGGATACATACCTCATACCACATACAAAAACAAACAGAAAATGGATCAAAGGCCCAAAGATAGAGCCTAAAACTATAAAGATTATGAAAGGGGGGGAAAGGGACAAACTCAGGAACCCTGACTTATAGCATAAATAGTTTTTCAAATATAAAATATATAAACAGTAGAAGATAAACTAGACCATCAGGATTTCCTAAAAATTAAGCACTTAATGTATGTCCAAAGAAAGGAGACCTTGTGACATAGTTAAGTTTTGAGCTGCAAACTAAAAGGTCGGCAGTTCAAACACACTAGCTGCTGTGCTGGAGAAAGATGAACGGCCTCCTCCCTTTAAGCTGTATGGCCTTGGAAAGCCAGTTGAGCGGTGCCATGAGTCAGAACTGACTCAACAGTCCTGGGTTTGATGCATAACAAGTCTTCTCCAAAAGAGTGAAAGAGAGCCAACAGAATGGAAACAATTTTGTCAAGGACATATCCATCAAAGCTTTCTCTCTAAAATTTGTAGAACAGATTAACAGTAAAAGGACAAAGAATCCAATTTTTGTCTTTTTTTTCTCTCTCTCTCTTTGTTTACTGTTAAATCGGATCCAACTGGCACAGGAGGAGACTTGCCCTCCTTCAGCAGAGCATCTGGTAGATTCAAACACTGTGCCTTTGGGATTGCAATGCAGCTTCTTGCCCCTAGGCCACCAGAGCTCTCTAGAATCCAGTTGGTTTTTTTTTAATGTGTAAATTATATGAACAGACACTTAAACAAAGAAGACATTTAGGTGACCAAGAAAAGAAGAAATGCTTGTGATCACTAGCCATTTGTTGTTGGTGAAGGTGTGTAAACCATTGAGTCAGAATGGACCCAAGGCTGATCCTCCAGTGGGTTTTAAGAGGCAGTTAATCACACAGGACAAAATTACCTATCCTCCCATGGAGGAGATTGCCTATCCTTCTCCCGTGGAACAACAGGTGGATTCAAACCTCATGCCTTTGGGATTACAGTCCAGTTTCTAACCACTTCACCACCAGAGCTCCTCATTTAGAGAGACGTAAATTAGAAGAGCAATTAGACATGACATCTCTTCAGCAACGACAGCAATGATTAAAAAAAAACAAACAGAAAACAAATATTGATGAAAGTGTGGAGAGACTGACATTCTCATACATGGCAGGTGGGAATGTGAAGTGGTACAACCGCTATGGATAATTATATGGAATGCTTCCTTAGAAGGTTAATACCACATGGTAATCCCACTAATAGGTATATATCATAGAGAACTAAAAGTCATGGCATGGATATACATACACTAACATTCATCACAGTAGGTAAAATATGGAAGTACTTATCAACTTGAAACATATACACAATGGAATATTATGCGACATTAAAGAATAACAATGAATCCATAAAACATCTCCATAAAAAATAGCATGGATGAATGTGGAAGTAGAGGATATTATGCTGAATAAAATACATCAATCCTAAAAGATCCTACTGTATGAGATCACTATCATAAAAAGTGAAGAAATGGTTTACTTACAGAAAGAAATATTATTTGATGGTTATCAGGGATAGGAGAGTGAAGGACTGAATATCATTAACTAGAGAGTAGACATGTGCTATATTAACTTGGGAAAGAGAAAGACAATAAATAATAGGGAGAGGTCAGTACAGCATGAGGAAGGCCAAGGAAGACACTGGGAGGATCACCAGGGTAAAAAGCAACCATTGTCAATACTTAGACACACAATTCTGCAGTACCAGAAATAATAAGCAATTACTTAAAAGAGGATATACAGCTAGATATCCAGGTTGAACAAGTGTGGGATGGCATATAGGAGTACACCCAAGAGTATATATTGTTTTAGCAGAGGACATTTCCACATATGTATTTGCATGTGCTGTAAATAGTAGTCTAGTGAGCAAAGAGTTGCACTGTCAACTCAAAGGCAGGTCATTTGAATCCACCAACTGCTTCCCAGGAGAAAGATGAGCATCTTCTCATGAGATCTACAGCCTCTGAAAACATGGTGGAGGGTCAGTTATGAGTCAGTTCTGACTTGATGGCACATAACAGCACCAACTATAGAGCATATGGAGCAAAGTTATTAAAATTTCTTTGCTTTTCTCCCTAACTGTAACTAACTCCTGAGTAAACCACCATGAGAAGGAAAAAAAAATTTCTTTGCTATAACAACAACAAAACCTTTTTGAGAACCTGAAGCACTGGGCTTGAGAGCTTGGGACCAAAGTCTCAGTGCACATCTAGATCAATTGGCATAGCACAGTTTTCAGATCTTGTTTTACCTCCAACTTTAATGGGCAGCAATTGGTCTTAAAAGATTGTAAGGAGCCATCTAAGAACTACTGTTCTCTCCCTTTCTGAAGCAAAGAATAAAGAAAATCAAAGACTCAAATAAAGAATCAGTCAAAAGGACTAATTGATCCATGAATCACAGCTTCCATGAGCCTGAGATCAGAAGTATACTGGTATCACTACCGATCACTCCTATAGAGATCACAACTAAATTAATTATATCATAAAGGCACACTGGGCAGAGTGGAAGGAAAATGTAAAACAAAAGTCAAAATCATAAAAGAGACCACACACACTTAACTGGGAGAACTTCTAAGACTGTAATCCTCAGACACTCTTCAAGCTTGGAACAGACTACAACTCCAGGGATCACCCTTCAGCCAAACAACACACAGGCCTAAAAAGGAGTACATTCACCTGTGAGTACATTCCACATAGATGAATGTCCTCCTCAGCACAGCCAACTGCCTGAGATCAAAGGATGTGCCCAGGGATAGAGCTCAGAAGGAAAGAAGGGATAGAAAACAGAGACAAATGGCAACAGGGAGGCAGACAGAAGACTGCTGTTGAGGGGATTACTAAGGTCACAAAACAAAATGTGTATAAATTATTGAATGGAAAAGAATTTGATCTGTAAAATTTTGTTCAACTTACAAGAAAATCCTAAAAAAAGTTATGCTTAATTTGAAGTGGGTTCTGATATACAAAAGAGATTAAACAAAAATATGCTTTAAATCATTTTTTTAAAGCGGTTGGATTTTTCAGTCATGTAAGCCAATTACTTTTTCTTTTGTAGTGATTACGTGTTCAGTTGTCAATCCAAAGTTCATTGGTTAGAACCCATCAGCAATTCTCTTGGAGAAAGACGTGGCAGTATGCTTCAGTAAAGGTGTTAAGTCCTCGGAAACCTGTGGGGACAGTTCTACTTTGTCCTTGAGGATTGCTATGAGTTGGCAGTGGGGTTTTTAAGAAGTTTGAACCAGAATAAAGATAGATCATCAACCACTTTATAATAATGTACTGAATTACATTGTATTAGAAATTATTCCTCTGTTGTATAAACTTCCATCAGCCTCATGTTCTCATCAGTAACATGTAGAGACAACCATATTTATTACATTGATCTGGAAGAGATCATGTATGTAAAACACTAGGGGCAGTGCTCAGAACACACAGCAGGGGCTCTGTGCATAGAAACAGAATGAGAATATGTATGTAAAACACTAGGGGCAGTGCTCAGAACACACAACAGGGGCTCTATGGATAGCATCATCACCAATGTATCCAGTTCATAGCTACAGAAGCCAGCTCTGTCTCCCCAGGGAAAGCATATATCTTCTTAAAACAGCAGATTTCTTCATAACTTTACCTTCAAATCCTCTCTCCATTCATTTATACCGTAACTCTTGGAAATTTCTGGTTGGAAAATCTGCATTTTTGCCATGGATGTAGCCAAACGAGTTAAAGATTGACGACCACTTCCTCCAAATCCAACAAGTAAAGCATTTCCACCTGACTGTTTCAGAATGCGGCAGATTCGTGACAAATGTTCTAGTACATACCTACCACGAAATACCAAGCCATTCATTACATATCACAATGCCCATGTCAAAGCACATTTCCACATTCTACTTTGCTAGAAGAATGGTGCTTTTCTGCCATATATGTTACTATCTTAATGTTAAAGAGCTTACTTTTAAAAAAATTATTATTTTCCTCCCCCAAAAGCAATTGCAATTGCACCATAATATGCAAAGGAAAAGTAAGTAAAAGTACAAATACAGAAAGCTTAACAATGAGATTATAGGATGAGATTTTAATTGTTCATGCCGATAATATATTAACTCTTTTATTTTAAACCTATTTCTTCACTATTGTAACAGTATTTTTATGGGGAAAACAGAAAATGACAACTTATCTACCAATCACAAATTTAGAAAAGACTTTGTATTTTGCCAGTAACAAGTGAAATTTAAATTAAAACTACAAAAAATACCTTACACGTTCAAAACTTTTTATCTTTTTGTACATTTTCAAATGGACACTTTAAATTTTGTATGTTTTTATACTTTTTTGATATCTTTTTGTGCATTTAAGTCATCCACAATAAAATTCTGCAGAGCAACTGAAAGAATCTATATAAAATGTCAGTACCTAAAAATGACAAGATTCATTCTTGTTTTGTGAGTTTGATTATATTCATCTAAGCACTGGTCGACAATATCATTAAAATAATGAATGTCTGAAATTTCAGTATAAACTCTATCATCTCCTTCAAGGTCAGGATTCAAGTAATCACCAAACATGAGACTTCTTAAGTCCTCTTCAGTTACCTAATAACATGAAAATCAGCAAATTACAAAATTGAAAACATTTTTCCAGAATAAGCTTAAGAAACTATTACACAAAATTTTGTTTTGTTCATGTTTTGAAAATAAATTTTAAGTTTAAGGACTTGACTTGTAAATTCATTCTTTACACATTATGATAGAAAAGAATGTATTTGTAAAATCTGTACCTGAGGTAATATTAAGTCCTTAGAAAATGTTTAAAGATCAGCAGTCTTCTCCTAACTTTGTAAGATTTTTTTGTGTAGGTTGGTTTTTGTCAGAGGCTCCCATTTATGGAGTCGTTATACTAAAGTCCATCATAATGTGAAGAATTTCACATCACTAATACCAAGTAATTTCATGTCGTGTAAGGTTTTCTCATTTATAAAACTTCTATATTATATAAGCAATTTCTTCTGAAGGTAAATCTCAAAATCTAGTAGCTTAGTGGTAAGGAGCTGCGTTGCCAACCCAAAGGCACTCTGTTCAAATCCACCAGCTGCTCTGTCCTGTGCAACTTACTACTTCTGAAAACCTGCTGAAGGGTGAGATATGACTCTCAATTGTACATAACAACACAATATGAAGTAATTTAAAAGACTCTTATTATTAGGAAACATTAAAGATAAGGTCATTGATTTTAACAATCGATCCTATTGTAATGCTTTAATTTACTATGCTTTTAATCACTACACGTACTTACTGCGGCACTCCCTTTCCTCAAATGTGAGAAGATGCCATCAAATGATTCTCTAAAATGGTCCTTTATGACTGATTTGATTAAAGTGAACAGCCAGCCTCGATCTTCATCATCAATGAGGCGATCATAAAACACGCGGAGAACCTCGTGCACAAACAGGCGGATCATTGTGTGCTTGCTCTCCACCGCCTCTTTGTCAATGAGGAGGCAGCCCAGGATGACACGGGAAAAGTCACGCAAGTTGAAAGTGTAATGAGATTTGGTGGGAGTAGGCAAGAGGTTTTCCATGGATTTTTTATATATCTGAATATTAAAAGAGCAACAAAGCAAAAATAAGCTACTTATAACAGGAAAAGAATATAATAACAATATTTTGTAGAAAATACTTTGTTTACTTTACGAGACTATATTGATTTAGAAAATGGTATGGGCCTAATTAACACCCTTGGTACCAGTAATCAGGAAATAAAGTGACGCATTGCACTGGGAAAATCTGTAGTTAGGAACCTCTCCAAATTACTGAGGAGTAGTGATGTCAGTTTGAGGACTAAGGTGCATTTGATTCAGGCCATAGTCTTTCCAGTCACTTGCTATGCATCTGAGAGCTAGACCATGAATAGGAATGACAGAAGAATAGACACCTTTGAGAGATGGTGTTTGAGATAAGCACTGAACATCCCATGGACAACCAAGAGAACAGTTATGTCTTGAAGAGGGAGTAGCCGGAGTGCTCTTTAAAAGCAAGAATGAGGAGAGCTCTGGTGGCCTACTGGCAAGAAGCTACACTGCCATCCCAGAGGTACGTGGTTCGAATCCACCAGATGCTCTGCCAGAGAAGGAGGGGCAATCTCTTCCTGTACCAGTCAGATCTGATTTGATGGTACACACAAAAAAAATAATAAAAGAAAATTAAAAAGAAAAAAAGCAAGAATGATGAGGCTTCACCTCACATACTTTGGGCATGTTGCTAGGAGGGGCTACTCCTTGAAGAAGGACATGATGCGGGGAAGGGTGGAGGGTCTGTTAGGGAAAGAAAGACCCTCAACCAGGTGGACTGACATGGTCACTACTGCAATGGGCTCTTGTGTGTCAAGAAAGTGTGAGGTTGGTGCAGGATAGGCAAGATTAATATCTTTTGTTCACAGGATGTTTATGAGTTGAATTTGACTCAAAGGCACCTAACAACAAGCCATTAGTGACACAGACATTTTCATTCAGTGTTTAACCAAGGTGTAAGGGCACCACCAGGGCTCTTTGAGATAGAGAATAAAGTGCTATTTATAGACTGCACCTAATAACATTTTTCCACTGATAAAAAAGAAAGAGCTTTATAAAGAGATGTTCTTAAAAACTGATGGAATGATTCCAAGAAAGTGAATCCAAATATGAACTTCATTTTGTCAAATCTCGAGGCAATTTAGTTAGATGTTACCACTAATTTCCCTTTAAACAGATTTAGAAGCAAATGTGTGTAGAAGATCATGATCTGGGTAATTCCTTCAAAATAACTGGAAAATAGTCATTATTTCTCATTTAAATAATTAAAAAACTGAGCCACTAAAAGGTCAGTTTCAAGGAGCTTCAAGGAGTGAAGGAATTAGGAAAGACCCAGTGTGGATCTGAAAATTAGGGTGAGAGTTGGCACATATCAATGTTGATTGGTTTTATAAAACACAGTGTATAAGAGCGTATGAAACAACACAGTGAATGAACGTGTGAAACACAATGTACATGAGTGAAAAACAATGTATATGAATTTTGTAGGCAAACCAACATAAAATTTAAAAATATATTCTTTTCTTTTATTTTTTTTTTCTTGTTGTGTGCCATCGAATTAGATCCAACTGGCACAGGAGGAGATTGCCCCTCCTTCTCTAGCGGAGCAGCTGGTGGATTCGAACCGTATCCTTTGGGACTGCAACACAGCTTCTTTCCACTAGGCCAGCAGAGCTCCCTCAAATATATCCTTTTAAAAATATAATCTTAAAATGAGGGAGGGGAAAGGTCCATTTATCATTCAAAGTCACATAGTTAGGAAGTAGCACAGGTTCAATCCCACCGGTTAGGAACCGACTCACAGAGGACCCTTCAGCAGGTCTTCACGACAGACTTTCCGTCTCTCCCCTGAGGAGTAGTGATGGATTCAAATCACACACCTGTGGTTGACAGTGCAGATCCCTCTTCACCAGGTCACTAGTTCTGAGCTCCTGTTTTCAAGCCTTTTGAAAATATCTCCTCTGTGACTGAAGACCCCAATAGATACTTTAGGGAAATGTTTAGGTGTAGGTGGGGGATCCTATGAGGTCGATAGCTCTTAACTAAGACATTTTCTGAAACATCACTTCCTTACCTCCATTGTCCCACTGACAATTTGATTCCCAATTAAAAAGTACTCTGGAACAAAGTCGTGATTCCGGAGATAGAACGATACAATGGCTGAGAAGATACGGATCATGGTGTCATCACTGAAAGTGTTAATGGTGCAGATATTGAAATGTCTAATAAACCGAGGGGTGACGGGATTTCTTCCCCCTCCAGGAGGGCCCATGGCAGCAATCAGCTCAATATCAACTAAGGTGATTTTACTCGTGTCCTTAAGGTCATACCTGGAAAGCACATAGAAATTGGAAAATAATCAGTGATACAGCCAATAAGACAGAGTGAATCATGTTGCTGTTGGGTGCTGTTGAGTCAACTACAACTCATGACTCTATGGGCAACAAATGTGAGCCTCCCCCAATCCTACAACATCCTCAGCATCTCTGATATGCTTGAACCTGTTGTTACAGTCACCGTGTCAATCCAACTTTTGGGAGTCTTAATTTCTTTCTCTGACCCTCCACCTCTCTCAGCATAATAACCTTTTCCAGTGAAATACAGATCTCTCTAAAAATGCAATCTGATTTCACCTTCTTCAATTTCACTCTTCACTTTTCCTTTTATTAGTTCAGATGTATGGATGAGAGGCAAATCCGTCCTGTTGCTTCTTTATGGGTAATGTGACCGTATGTCCCATTTTGCCTAATTTTTTTTTTACTTTAACAAATAGAAATTTATTTACTTATAATTTAGAATCCATAAATCCAAATTCAGAGTACTACTTTGAGGTGCTGCCCATTCTCTTGAACCTGTGGAGAAAAGTCCTTGCTTCCATCCACACCTGTAGGTCAGGCATTCCTGGGAGATCTACAAGTGTTCTGGCCTTCCTTTGGGTCAAGGGACTTCCTTACACAGGGTCTCAGATCCAAAATAATACACTCCACTTCTGGAAATGCTTTCTTGATTGTGCCTAGAATAATTCTTGTCACCTTTCACTCTCAGACATGCCCCAGTTTTAAGATAATTTTGTGCATATTATCAGGAGGGGGCCAGTCCCTGAAGAAGGACATTATGTTTGAAAAAGTAGAGGGTCATCAAAAATTAAAAAGACCCTTAACGAGATAGATTGACACTGTGATTGAAACAGTGGGCTGCAGCAGAGCAGAGAATGTGAGGGTGTGACAGGAATGGGCAGAGTTTCATTCTGCTGTGCACTATAGTGTCACTCTAACTGGGGATGCCACAGCATCTCAACCTCATCAATCAATTACAGCTAAGTCCTGGTCTCCTCTTCTTTACTCAAACTGAACATAAAGATGTCTATGTGTACTATACACTTTTATCCCAGTGAAAGATAATGGAAAGATGCAAAGAATTTTCAATCATTAGGAGGCATCTTATGAAACAGTTTGGTTAAAACCACTCCGACTGAAAGGTGTCTATTATCAATATGCCATTATTGAGGCTCTTGGGGGGGGGAATTAGGAGATAAATTTATATAGCCAGTCCTTAGTTTAAGATGCACTTTGAGAGTATTTCTCTTCTGTAACAACTCTAAAAACAATCAATTTGGGGATGACAAGCTTCACAAAACTGCACACACAGTATGGAGAATGAATAAAATAACAGATATGCACTGATAAGGACGTATGCTTAAGAGAAATATTTACAAACTGTAAAATGATGTACAAAACAGTATGTATACTGTGATCCTACTTATATAAAATAAAGTATATGTTTATGTAGGAATAGGGAGCACACTGTTAATACTGGTGGTCTCTGTCTGGGAGGCAGAATTCCAAGGACCTGCAGTAATAACAAAACTGTATCTCCAAAATTACTTCACTCCATAATAGTATACCCTTGCTTTAAAGTAAAAGTCACGGTGTAAAGAGATTAGGAAGCAATATTTAAAAGGAGAAAATGAAGAATTCTTAATCTTAACTAAAAGACACAATGTCTTATGCATATGAAACTTATTGTACTGTCATAATGGGAATGAAGAAACAGAAGGGTCATCTATGAAATTGCTATCAAAGCCAAGCCATCCAGAAAGGTGATGATTCCAGTCAGTCACAAAAAATATAGTTTAAA